AGCCTCCACTCTATCCAAGAAAATAGTAGTTATATGCTGCTAGTTCAATATTCGTTCACTTCTATCTCAAATTATGTCACTTCTATCACATGATTTTATTTTGAGTTTAATTTTTAATTTAAATCACCAAAATTGTTATCTAAACATAGCATATTTATAATACTTTAACATTTTTTTTCTATACACAGGATTTTTTTCAATCTAGTTGTAAGAATGCAATGAAACTTTTAATGCCTTTAAAATTTTTATTGAATATATGGAGAACATTCAGATATTATATTTTGCAGAGTCTCTAGAAACACCTGGTAGGACCTTGTCTAGCCCTCTAATATATGTTTTGCTATCATTGTCAGGATTCTGTAAACTTGAAATCTGATAGTATTAACAATATTTCTATCTTCAGAAATAAATTTTAAGAAAGTGCAAACATTTTCTCAGTTCCATCGTTAACTCAATACAGACTGAGGATCTGATATTTTGACACTGTAATAACACAATATAAACAGATGTATCCTTATGAATTTTCTTCTCTTCTTAAAGGTGTTTTTTTCTGATATATTCAATTATTTTGTGTTCCTCTCTGCAACTCCATCTAATAGTACTAAAATTTGCGCTCATACAATTTTATCTCAATTTGGTAGCCAAATTATAAATTTTAGAAGTTAAATTTTAAAATGAATTCTCCTCAATTTAACTTAATTCTCAGGAGAATTGCAAGAATGCTGTCTAAATTCAACCAAATTGTTGAAACAAATCCCACAAATGGGACAAAGGTATTTCCAGCCATCATCAGTATTTATGATCACCACACTTATGTTATGGTGTGATCGCAAATGATCTTCAAAAGCTTTTCTATTAAATGTGCTTTCAAATTTGACCTGTGGAACATAGAACACAGGCCTCACAAAAATATGGAATTCCTCCGGCTCTTTAGTATCAGTTGATTTGGACATTTTTTTTGATGTCATTCTCTCAATGAGGGGACGGTAGTAGTACACCCTCAGAGGTCTTCCAAATATTATGGCCCTTTCCTCAGGGAGGAGGGCATTTGGATTTTCAATGAATGCAATATATTTTTGCTTTACCCACGTGGTATTTTGACGACCTGCAGCTTGAGAGAAATATCTTCCACACAGCAGACGAAGAGTCATTCTTCTAATCTCACGACTATTAATGAATGGGATTCTCCATGAAATTGAGAGTTGGAAAGGAATTTTGTAATTTATGGTGGTATAACACAAATTGCTGGTTTTCTTCTTCATATTTCCTGAGTAGAATTTTGCTCTTTTAATTAAGGGATTCTTTCTATCAATACTTATTAGTGGTGTATTCATACGGGTAATTCTCCCTAATCCTGACATAAGAAAGATCCACTTTCTAGGAATGGGAATTTGAATGAGATGGGACTCTTGTTCTTTTAAATCTTCTTGAGGATCATTTTGGTCCATCTCTACTTCAAGCTCATTGTTTTCTGCTGGTTGAGAAACAGCATGCTCCTGGGAGATTGGTGTGTCTAGCTCCCCGTTCATTGGGTTGCTTTCTACCTGAGAGGTCATATTAGATTCAGCAAATGAAGGCCCTACATCTGCACTAGAGTCATTTGGAGCCTCATTTTCTGAATTTTCGAGAACAAAGTCAGATGAATCACTTCCTTCTTTAGTAGGGGAAGTCATCCTGGGATCTATTTACAAGAAAAAAAAATACAAAACAAAGATTTATTAAATTGAAGAATGCTTTAATTCATAAAAAATCAGTTTTTTAGATCTAGCAAAAAGCATGCGGATGTGTTATTCCTGAGTTTTTTATACCTTAAATACATATACATTTCTTGTACCTTTAATATTAGTCACGGACCCATAAAATAAAATAAGGAAAAAAAAATCAAAACTGAGGGCAAATGTAACTTCTCTTTAATAGGCATTCTCATTATTTAGTCTGGAACTTATATGTAAATTTGGAATAACATAAACTTTCATCTGGCTAATATAGGAATGTACTCTATGCACTTGAGCACATATAATTCCCAATAAGAAGTCAAATTATTTCCTTTTGGATGGTGAATTAAAAAGAACTTTCATTTAATAATATAAATCCAAATTATTGATCTAGGATTTTAAAATGAGACTAAAGTAAAATGCAGTTTTTTATGAATATATACGTGTTTGTGCATGTATTTGTGTGTGTGTGTGTGTGTGTGTGTGTGTGTGTGTGTTTGTGTGTGTATAAAACCTATGTGAAAATAAAATGGTCAGATTCGTAAGAACAGGCTATTCTTTCCTTGGAATTTTTTCTTTGTTTATTCTTTTATCTGTTCTTTCTGAGCAGTAACTCTGCAAAGAGCAACAATTTATGAATTATATGGGATGGAAAGGCAGAGCAGATAAGAGTAGAAAACTAAATAGTGAAGTCCAAATTCTGAATCATTTTATTAAAATATGTTTCAAATTATCGTTTTGTTCTCATTCTCATTGCCTCAGCACTAATAAAGCTTATAATCATATTATGCTTGTTTTATTGCTGGTAGTAACTGATTTTCCTGATTCCAAACTCTCAATTTACCTTTTTCCTCTTTCCTTTTTCTTAAAGTGGGATAGGTCTTTATCTCATACTGCAGTCTTCAGAGACCCTCCTCTAATATTCTTACCTCTATTTACTGCATATGCTTTTTCTGTTCTTTTTGTTATTTCATACTCATATTTAACTTACAATTTAAGCTTTGAGCATTTTTTCAAAATTTTATATTAATTCAAGTGTGACTATTTTTATCACAAATAAACTTTATTTGTTTACTCATTTATTGTTTTACTGAAGGCAGTGATTATAATGAGATTTTATTTGGTATGTTTCACTCCCTAGTACTGTTTTACTAAGGTCATGGAATTATCTTCTACTTTTAAGTGCATTATTCCTTGACTTCTGTTACCACATAATAGTTTGTTATCCTTCTCCTTTTATCCTTATTTTAGTTTGTCTTTTTTACTTTTTTCTTTTACTTTTCTTAACATTTAAATGTAAGCATTATTCAAAACATATTTCTTGATCTTGTAGTCTACTTTTTTTTTAACTCTCTTCTTCAGTGACTTTGTACAGAAAATTTTAAGGTTCCTTACTGAACTTAACTAAGTTTAATCTGTTTGAGATTGTTGATTAGAGAAACTGTACTACCAAGATATTTCAGCATCAACAGAGTTATAATAAAAGTAAGACAATGAACAAAGCCTACATTCTAGAGGAAGTCTATAATAACCAAATTGGACTCACTAAGTTTGAGGATAGTATGACTGGTTGCTTCTAGTAAGGCTGAGATCCAATAATTTGGCCGGAACTGAAGTTCCTGGTGGTCATCTAGGTCTTGTTAGATGCACCCTGAAAGCAAATCAGTTAATTTTTATTAAAGAAGATGCAGACTAGTCAGCTTCTATACCTTCTATTTCCAAGTAAAGTACCTATTTTGCTTTGCCCTTTGGTAGAGTCTTCTACTTTCATGTCCCAGGTTCACTATGAGATTCATTGTTCTCTTCTACATTCTGCCCTGGCATTTTATATAAAATATATTCAGTGTATATACTCATACTTATCACAGATATTAATGCTATTAGAAAATGTTAAAAATGTGTTTGTCAACAGAATTTAACTTATATTCAAAGGCTTGCTGTCTTCTGCAAGGAAGTCATATCAAAAATATGTGTACTTAGGACCATTACTATTCACTTAAAAAAAAATCACTCCTTATTGAGATTGCACAAGGAGCGCACTGGGTATTCTATTCAACAACTTAATATTTATCTTTTAATGCCTAGATTTATGTTTGGAAATAGTCAAGAGTTATTTCTTAGTAAGAGTTCTTTCTTACTTTATCATTTTCTAATAATACAATCATATACATACATATGTTTTAAGCATTGCAGTAATACAGTATATATAAGCAATATTTCACAGTTTATTAGACAAAAAACAAAAATTGTTATATTTTGCTAAGATAAATGTAAATGCACCTGATAGCTCATAAAACTATAATGTTTAAAATTCTTAAAATAAGACACATTTTTTGATTGATCATTGGATCTTTGAAGAAGTACAATATTACAGTTATATATTTATAAAGGCTTATTTTGTAAAAAGTAATATAAAGCAAAAACTATAACTAAATACCAGAGTTGGTGTCTTCAAATTTTTCTCTTCTGATTCAGATTTTGACATACAAGGCCTGTATATTTTAAATATACATATGTGGGATTTGAAATGAACCTGATTATTTTGAACCTTTCTAAATCAGATTTATTTAGCCTCCTAATTGGGGCAAGTTTGTTTGTATTCTAGTCAAAAACTGTGTCCTCTAGTGCTCATATGCTCTGGGAAGGATGTATTTTTCCTTCTACCAACAGTTAAAGAATTTTATACCAAATTGCATCAATAATTTATCAGTTCAGTTAAAATTTCTTAACATGAATTGAATGTCTCATCTTTCCTTTCTGACAAACTTTCCAAGCTACACTATCACATTATGTTGAATGAAATTTCCTCAATTAACACATGCCTCTGAGCCTCATTAACTTATAAGTGTCAGGAAACCCCTAACTATGCCTTAACTCCTTCATTTGTAGAACCTTAAATTCTCCTCTTCCCCAAAACTTGTTAATGTTACTTTGAAATGTTTTTGTCACTGAAAAACTTTAGTGCCAAATAAAACAAGGTACTTTTCTCCATTTAAGATATATTTAAGGTATATTCACAATATTATATGTAAACATATTGAAGGTCTGACCCAAAGCATCAAGTCCCAGTGTAACATCTCTATCAAAGACTCATAAATTAAGTAACTGAAGTTAATTTTAAAATAATTTTTAAATACTGTAAAAAAGATACACAAACTAAGAAGTACTTATTAAAATTCCTCATATACTTTCAATTTACCTTACATCTCCATTCTCAGAGTACTACAACAAACGTGATTCACTAGGCCCGGTCTGCTCTCCTCCTTTACTTCTGCCCTTTACCACCCCCTTTTATACCTTTTCAAAGTTCTTTTTACTCTACATCACAATGTCCACAGAACTTGGCAACCTAGCAACCAAACACAACCCTCTGCAGCGGTTAGGAGAAGGGAATAACTGAAATTGTAAAACTAGAAGTGGTTTTAAATGGCAAGGGCTGTGAATACGATTAAGTTCATATTTTTGCTTCATCACAGATAAAATTTTAACTATGTGCTGTTCCCAAGTTTGAAACAGTGTGAAGATAGTGTTAGATAGTTAGGTAATCATGAGCGACATGAGGGAAGGCCCAGCTCTGTAACCATAGAAACCTCCCTAAAACAACCATTTAACAGTTATAAATTACTTCTATATCCTAAGGTACAAAGGCCATAAAAGCTTCTGGCTTAAACCAGCCACAAACACATACACAGAAAGTACTACCCTAACCTGCCTGTAACCTCAGCCTCATTATACAATCATTATAATATCATACATATGTCTGGAAGTTTATAAATCTAATTATAACAGACCGAATTCTGGGTAAGCACATGATAAGTAGGCAAAGGGTTATGTAACAGCCAAATGTCAATCAAAATGATCTCACATGCACTTGTAACCACCTATCATGACCCAAATATAAACAGACATTCCCACTTCTGTGGGGTTATAGCTCTTGTTGAAACCCACTCTTCCCTTGGAGTATGCTTTTTTTATCTTTTCACCTCTCAAATTCCATGGGGCTGCAGTCTTCCTTGGCATGGCTGATCTCCTTCTAAAAATGTACTTTCAATAAACCTTACTTTTTCTAAATCTCGCTGATCTGTAAGTCGTTACTGAATCAGCGAGAAAAAAAAACAACAACAATCCCTTCCATGCTGCTGGGGCGATACCAGATTTCACCTCATCCCATGTGGTAACAATAGGATTGCCACATAAAATAAGGGCATTCAGTAAATTTAAATTCCTGATAAACAATAAATACTTTTTTTTTTGCATAGATATGCACCAAATACCAAATATAGTCAAATATGTGTTGAGA